CGTGATACTACTCCAACGCCTATACCCCCATCTCATTTTGTTTCTATTTTGTTTCTATTTTCATTTTTGTTATTTTGCTAATAAATATTTCTATGTCTCCTACAAGTCAAAGTATCGTAGCAATTCATTGTGTCTGCGTCTACTTATTTATTTATTCTTACGAGGAGACATACGTGGATCCACATCTACAACACCGATTGGTTATATATATATATATATATATATATATATATATATATATATATATATATGTATGTATTATATATATTTAAATCATCTCTATCATACATACGTACCATTTCACTAAATTTTATAGTTAATCCATTCCTTAGTTGTTGTGTAATGTTTATAACAAACAAGCAAACAGAAAGGCAAACAGCCCGACAGATAGCGGTGATTACATATCTTCCTTGAAGGAGATATTAAAACAATGTCAAAAATCTGTGATTGTAAAACAGATCATAGACGGAGTATCATGATTGGCATAATGAAATCACTGTTTAACTACGATTCTACGATTCTTTAAGGTCAATAATATTTACTGTACTTATATACAACAAATGGTTCTAGCAAGAGGGGTAAAGTACAGAGTGCTTCTAATTACATTACAGAACCCAACCCAAAGAAGCCAGGTACATTTCTACTCTGTGTTTATGCTGTCGACTAACGAATACGTTCAGACCTGAAAGATACGCCAGGCGTATCTAACGCCTGGCGTACGTTAATCCATGGCGTAACTAGCGAGATGTCCAGACTGGGCACGATTACCGAACGCTAGCCAGAGCCGTAGATAGAGAGAGTTTGGCCAACTTGGCGCATGGCGCCATGTTGTTACCAAACACAGAGCCATATATAGAAAGAGTTGCGACATTGGGAATTTAGAAGCCATTTTGTTTCAAACGCGATGCGCGTTCTGTGCCTAACGTGATGTGCGTTCCTTGTATAATATTGTATAAATACAATTAGCGGCCTCCTGTAGAGTTTAATTTCATTTAATCTTTTTAGCAGTCGAATTTCATGTAACTGGTTTTTTTTTTAATGATTTCACTACTTTATATCCAATTTCATATTATAAATACTGTAATAATTTACTATTTTTAAGCAGTTCTTTAATCCTCGCCGATAGACCTAGAGAGCCCCTCGATGGCAAGCATTCTTTAATTAGGCAATCCTTAAGTAGCTCCTATTATTTTTGCAAATAAATGATATGTGACGACCAGCAAAAAATAATTAAACACGTTTATCAAAATGTAATTTAAATCCGTCCAGGGTATAGAGATTGTTGTTCTTTAAATTTGAATATGAGCGAGCCCTATACAAATCTTATGTTAATAATTTGATTACCTGTATTATTATTTATAAATATTAAAATAGTATAGGTCAGTTGGCCGCAATATATAAACTGTGCTTTGCTGTAAATGTTATAAATTGTAAGTGTTAAATGATATACAGGATCTGTGATATATTTAACTTGTGTAATTATGTAACAGGGACGTATCCAGGGGGGAAGCCGTGGGAGCCGCGGCTCCCCCTCCCCCCCCCTTGTGTACACTGTTAAAATTTTAAAGCTTATTCTTGAGCTAATACAAATTCTTTCCTGGGATTACTCAAAATGAATACTTCTAAAACATGTAAATATGCATCAGTACACGCTATACATAGGCCTAATGGAACACATAGGCCCAAGCGTGATTTAAAAAAATCTTAAATCCATAAATCTCAGGCCAGGGCTTTTAAGATAGAAATGCGATACTGTGGTTCAAGTTCATTTTTATCCTTTTCCAAGTTTCTTTAAATTTTTGTTTAATAATACTACTACTAATAGTAATAATAATAATAACAATGATGATGATAGTAATAATTGATAATAATATTAATAGCAATAAAAAGTGAAGAAAATTGTGCTAAATGCGAAAAAAGTTGTGATTTGTTGATCATAATATAGTATATATAGTTAAAGCTTAGTAAGCTATAGTTAGGCCTAAGT